TGATAGGTATGAGAGTTTAACATGAGAATCCGTCTCTTCATATTATTTTGGTCTACTTATATTGCTGTTCTGCGAAAATTGCCCAATTGATTTATTATGAAATCAATCAATCCAAAGTGAGAGCTGTTTCGCTTTCATTTGCTTATGGTAAACTTAGTTTCTTCAAAGACCACAAATCGTGAAAGTGCTGGTGCATTGCATGAAAATTCTAAGATACTCACCATTGCCTGCAATAGTGGTTTCCGAATGAAAAATGTTGTGTCTGATTCTTTCTATAATGCTTTCAACAAGAATGTCATGTGTGGACTTGGACTTGCATGCAGATGCATTCCTGAAGAGGTTCATTATTAGAAAAGCGTGGTGTATCACACTTGCATATCACGACATTGCATAAGAATACATTATCAGGAGTGGTAGTAATTTGGTCGAAACCAACAAATGATGTGATAGTTCAATCATGGTTACATCGTGGTAAGCATGATCATCTTTTCACGGCCACTCAGTTCAATCGGTCATACAAAATCATGAAACAAGCAAGTAACTAGCAGAAAACCATAACTGTTTCATGCTTGTTTCATTCTAAACCAAACTATGAGTTGAACAGCAGGTTAACACCATTGTTCCCTTATCAGATAGAGTAATGAAAACAGCACTTCATTTCATGAGACGCAGACGTGAAACCACCACATCATAGTTTAAAATGAAAAAGTACCCCCGACCACTTTTTCGTTTAAAACAATGATGTGTTGGTTTTGCAAGTTAAGAAGAGTGAGGGAGATCATTCTGCAACTTACTATGAGAAAGCTTACTTGTTTACAGCTTAGATAAGGTTATGGGAAGGTGCAAGACTGGAGACCGAACTGCAAATTTGGTAAAGTGCAATGATTGCTGACAAGCATGAGAATGATTGGAGTTTCGATCTCCTCCAGTGACTTTGCTTTGCAAGATAGCATTTCGAGGTTTCCAATTAGTTAATTCGTGGTTTCGTTGGGAAAATGATGTGAAGCTGCTGGTTAGCTGGTGTCATGAAAACACAGTTAACATGATGGTTTCGACCAAATTACTACCACTCCAGACTCTTGAGAGTCTTCAAAACATCCTAATGATCCGAATTACGCCAATGACAACAAAGTACTAAAAGAACAGAAAATGAGGCAAAAAATTAGAAAAAAAATAAGGAAGTTCAAAAAAAGGAAGGTGAAAAACTTTGATATTGGCCAGACGCCAATATCAGAGACGAGCGATGGCCAGTCATAGCAATTGAGATCGCCCGTCGTAGCGACTGGCGATCGCCGACACTACACGTATTTGATGCGTATTGATCGTCGCCATGCTATACTCCTCGAGGAGTATAGAGGCTGCCTATCCGAGAGTGCTGCTTGTCACTCGTTGGTCTGAAAATGTTGTTCATTCGTGCCCTCTCAAATAGTACAGTGATTCAATTTTTGCTGTCGAGAGAATGGATTCTCGTACACGTCCAGACCCTGAGGAATGAGACTCAACAAAATGTTGAGCACTCAAGAAAACGGAAGCAATACTTTGGCAGAAAAACGGACATCTTCTTAAGCAAATTGGCAGTATGTAGCAGATGCATGGTGCGTCATTAGGAAACTAGCTCTGGAAGATTTTTGCAGTTGATTTTGTGCAGAAGAAAAGACAAAAATTGTGAAAGTAATCAAATTTGGGCAGTTGACGCTGTCAGCCAGTGTGAAGAAAGCAGTAGATTTTAGATAGAGATGAAGCCATCAAAATTTGATCGAATGGAAACTGTTTTGGGATGCTGCTTCGAAAATTAACTCCAGATTGAGCGTTCTGCATCCGTTAGAGTTCTTACTCATTGATTTGATTTGGCAGGAAGAAGAAAGATAAGATTGTCAATCATTTCTGCGCCACAAAAAAGGTGGTTTCTCCTCTTCAATAGTCAGTTGATTCTGGAGTGATCAAACCTTTGGTCCAGTGCAAATTCAAAAGCTATATGCACGCCTAGATTAATTGAGAATGGACGTTGGAAGACAAGTATAAAAACCTCACATCCTGATGCAGAAAGTTGTACGATAATTTCTAAGCCGTACATGATGTACCCTAAAATCCGGCATATAAGATCGCCTCGCAGTAAAGACCGCCTCGCCGATAAGACCGCAAAAGAGCTCTCAGTTAAGTCCGCTTTCGTGACAGCCTCGCGCGCCTCGCGCGCCGCCAAGTTCCGCGGATAAGTCCGCCTTATTTTTTTTCACATGAAAACAAGAAGGATGCGCAATTGCGCTGCCTTTTTTGGTCTCAGAATGAACCGAAGCAACAGATCTTTATTCAGGTAGCATTCCATGTTCATCATAACAAACATTCATGGCAACAACTTGACCAAAAGAACGACCATCATTATCGTTATTATCAGCAACAATCAAAGCGTCGAAATCCTCGTTCATGCCTTCTATTATTGATTCGTCATCGAGAGCCTTGGTGAAACTGTTCGCAATGGTTTCTTCAGTGATTGCATTGAAACTCTCGTAGACTAGTGCAGCTACCTCTCCGTAGGTCATCCTTTTCCTGGGGCCGCCTGTTGTGTACCTTGCTCGTGCTGAATCGGCCATCCATCGCTCCATCCCGCCCTCAGATTGTCTTTGAAGGGCTTGTTGATGCCGACGTCGAGAGGCTGTAGATATTTGGTCATTCCGCCTGGAATGACCGCGATCTTTGAGTGCTCCTTGAAAAGCTCTCGGACGTCTTCTGTGAGATGGCACCTTAAAAAAGCAAGATAAGCTCAAGAAATGATAAAATACGAAACGATACCTTGCAGAATCTAATATGAGTAATGACTGCGAGGAATCGTTGACATAGCATTTCCGTTTGTTCCACACCTCATGGAGCCATGTCCTCATCAGTTCGTGATTCATCCAGCCTTTATCATTGGCTCTAACTACCACTTCGGGAGGGAAATTATCCTTGGGAATCCTCTTTTTCTTGAATATGATCATCGGTCTTAATTTCTCTCCAGCGGCCGTCACAGAGAGGACAACGGTAAAATTCGATTTTTCGTGTCCTGTTGAGTCAATCCTTACAGTATCGGCTCCCACTTGATCCACGGTCCTTGAATAAACCATATCGAAGGGCACTGGGACTTCATCGACATTCCTAAGATTGTGGGGGGAGATGTGAAGCGATTCCCTTTGTACGAATCTCCTGAAGTCCGCGCAGATGTTTTCATAATCCTCCGGAAGTGCTTGGCCGACACTGGTTCTTCGCCTCAGAGATAAGTTCTTTCTCTTCATAAAGCCTTTGCACCACATCGCCGATGCCCTGAAGTCCTGGTGGCCAGATTCCCGCGCTAGCTGCAATGCCTTCTCGCGAATGTCTTTGACAAGCACTGCTCGGCTTCCTTCTCGCGTCTGCACAATCCATGCATAGAGAGCTTCCTCTATTTCCTCCACCTTTGGCTTCCCATGACGGTTGGCGCGTCTCCTCAGTGGCATATCCTCCAGATTTTCTTTATCGGCCTTCCATCTTCTAGCCAGACCATCAGAGACTTCGTAGCGAACAGCGGCAGCCGATGTTCCATTTTGCAGGGCATATTCCACCACGTTAAGCTTAAAAAGCGCGGTGTAGAACTTCCTTCTGGGAGCCATTGAGATCCGAGATACCTGAACAGCTTGAGTCACAGCGTGTGAGAGTATGTTGGAAATATAGGGCTCTGCGTGATTGCGAACTTCGCTGAGTTAGCGGTCATTGCTTACTGGAATCACGCAGAGTCCTATAAATTTGTGCTGATCATCACTCTTTTACAAGAAAAAGCAGGCGGCGTCAAATTTGACTACACTGTCTTTTGTCTTGGATGTACAGGCTTAATGAAACAACAGATGAGAAAAAGAACAAGGAAGCCTAATGCTTTGCTAAGGTTGAGCATTCTCAGGCTGTCACTCTTCCGTTCAAGAAAGCATTTGACAAAAGCCGTATGGCATGGGTCAACAGAGACTACGTTCAGAACATTAAAACAATAGAGGAAGCAAAAAGTATAGGAGTCAGGTTCAAGGGTTGTAGCCTGTACGGGTTCGAGAGATGTATTAAAAACATTGTAGCTTCCAAAACGATAAGATGAATGATAAGATGAGATGATTGCAATGATATAATGAGAAAACCTATTATGATTTTTCGGACAGAAAAATTCCATGTGTACAAGCACTGTCTTATATAGGAAAAAACCCACCAGCGTATGTGATGGCCAATCCGCGACGAAACTGTCAGCAATTAGACTGCACGACTTGTCGAATCCTTTGGCGGTCTCTTTTAGGGGAGTTCACGGCTTGATTCCAATCGCTGAAACATGTGATATCCAGAACAACTTCTCTGTAGCGTTTTGCAAAACTACGAACCGTTTGTGTCTTTGTACTTCGTCACTTACTGCTTGGAACAGAATATGCGCGACGATCAGCGTTCTAAAAGAGCTTTGTAGGAGATGCATGTACTGTAGTTAGCCTATATCATAAACCTCCCCTGCCTAATATTCCTGAAAATGGGGTAAAATCCTACCTTACTATCGCGTCATCAATTCCAACACACAAGAAATGTTATATCTAAGAAAAGAACTCACCTATCCAGCGTATATGATGACAAATCCTCGGCGAAACTGTCAGCAACTAGTCTGCACGGCTTGTCGAATACTTTGGCTCTTCCTTTCAGGCGATTTCGCGGCCTTGTTTAAATCTACACCGGCAAGCTACGCGGGCGGTCGCGCGCGTTTGTGCTCCTAGGTCGCGCTTGCTCATGCTCAGGAAAGACGGACGTATCTGCGAGAGGATTTAGGCGGACTTATCTGTGAGACCTTTTGCGGCGTTTTTCCATCGATTTTCCTGCCAAAACTGCAGATAAGTCCGTTCTTATATGCCGGATTTTAGGGTATCTCCAAAACGGAATGAACTTCATAATGAATGTCAAATCAACAACTCCACCTCATAGTGGCATTCCTATGATGTCTCATTTTACTAGCCGAGTTGTATTGTGTGGATGCCATGGACAAGAAGCAGGAAGAAAGCGTTCCGGAAGAAAGCGCTCCTAAAAGCAGTGCGGAAAATTCCGAGATGGGAAGCAGCATCCCAAGTGTGGTGCCAGATCTTCGAGAAGGCCTGGAAAGTGCACATCTGCGAGAGCCACCAGCCCGCGGATCCTCTGACATAGTATCGAGTATGGAAAACCCTCTGGTGGGTACTGCAGAGTCTTTACAGAAGTGTGGAACTTCCAGTATGGAAAGATCTCTGGCTGGTACTGCAGAGTCTGCGCAGAAGTCTGGGACTTCCAAAGAGTCAGTGACATCAAAACCTGAAAAGAGCGGTCTATCAATGGAGAGCACGTCCGTAGCCGGAACCAAAAGCGAAGTATCAGAACCTGCTAAAGGCACGGAGCCGAGCAAATCACCCGGGTTCTCTGAAGTTTCAGTCGAGATACCTACTGAAGAGAAAGGCATCGAAAAGTCAGAGGAAGCGGAGAAAGAAGAGGAAGTGGATTTTGAAAAGGAACGAAAATCGACGCAAAAATTTATGGTTTTCAAGTACGTCGGAAGCAAATTCTAGAAGGAACGAATCAGGGCTCGGCACAGGTGGCTTACAAGCAAGCTGGATATCGTTTTTGGGACGAAAAGCAAAGGGGGTTTCGTTTTTGTGAGCGAAGACATACGGAAAATTGACGACGGCGACCTTTTTTTTTAGTCGACGTTTCGTTTTTTGGGGGATTTTCGGGAATTTTTCAGGTTTTTAGAAGAAATTTGGTTCAGGGTCAAAGGGGACTTCGTAAAAATTCCCAAAAGTCAAGGGGGACTTCGTTTTTTCCATTTTCATCTAGCCACCTCGTGCCGAGCCCTGGAACGAATACCTCGACTAAGCGCTTGCGTACTGCTGATCCTCACAATGCACTAGAACGTGCGTAAGATTAGTAGTCCGTGGAAGCAGCACCTAATTGAGATACCCGTCTACTTCGCAAATTCTTATTTACGCTACATTTGGTCACGTTCTTTTTCAGGATTCTACAAATAGTGCTGGCTGCCACCATGACCTTACAAGTGCTAACAATTTCGGGCTATTTTGTTTTCGTATTATTTTTCTACGTAGTTATAGCTGTCGAAGTAAGTTTATTTCGTCTCGAAAATTTAGAGTCTGGTAAAGAAGTCTTGGTGCAAATGTGACCTTAACATCCGTTTCCTCATCTGATTTTGCAAGATCATCGTCATCCAAATTCATTTTATAGAAGCGCAACGTCAGTTTCTTTGTCGACTTACTGTCAACGGCGGGTATCATCACTAGCAGAAATGTGCTAAAGTCAAACTAGAATTTAGCACATTAGAAACCAGTGCGTCACCTCTGCTTCGCAGAGTTGACGCACTGATCCTACTATCTGTATGCGTTACTCATTCTCGTAAAAATGACATTGATGCTTACCGCGCTATGCAGAGTATCACGATGGATTTGTAAACAACTACTCATTCCTAAGACTTTTTCATGTGAGATCGGTAATTTCGCTTAGATGAAACTTTTCCCAGAAGAACAAATGCCGATTTGAATCGGTTTTTGGACTTTTCATGACTTGATTTTCGCCATAAGATACAATAATCACTGTGGGCTACATCTCAGTGCAAAAATCCTCTCAAATGATCGGGTAAAATATTGGCAATTCAAACATTTACGCAACAAATATTTTTTGGCGCCGTTTACGCAAAGTAATAAACTTTAGTTCAATTTTTTAGACTGAAGTCCATGGCTTGCAGATTAACTTGTCAAACATATGCGTAACTTTGCAAAAGGTCTTGCTAAAGGCTCAATTTTGCTGACCAAAAGCCAAGTGGATCCGTCTGACGTGTGATTTTCAAAGGATCCACTGAACGGATCCGCTTAAGCTTTGGTATATTGGACTCTCATGTTGGTAGCATGCGCTGTGCAAAATTTGGGCTTAAGATGTTGGCTGGCAACCGTTCCACGAATTTCGTGACAGACAGGCAGACTTACACACACACACATCCACACAAAAACTAAACATCCTTAGCCACTTATTATAAGTAATGATAGTGTGGAAATTCTTCGCAGACTGTGGATTGTGACCCGTTGATGACCTCCTAACATGCTCACCTGCCTCTCAAGTTACGTGTTCCAAAGTGTTCCTCTCTTAAAACGCACAAAATTTTGATGCCAAGATAAACAAATGACTTGTTCATAGGGCATCGTTGATCATATGACATTAAATCAAATTTCGGTTTTTTTCATAAATTTTCTCCCAAATATATTACTACAAAAATTTCAGATTACATACGTCGTAACATCTTCTCATTTGATGGTTTTAGAGCTTAACAAACCAACTAGGTTCGTTCGGAGCATGAATCTTGAGTTTACATAAGTTTTGGACCCTTTTGGCTTGAAGCACTTGAGCGTCAAAAATCTATCATTCAGTAAATTCAAACCAAACCATTGTCTTCCTCTGATTTTTGGTGATGGACGTGAAATTTGCATGCTTTGATAATATTACGCTCCAACACACAACCGCGGGATTGTTCAGAGATGTTTAATAATGCCAAGGGTGCTGTGAGATTCTGGTCATCTATCTTTCTATATATGATTTCGCCCTTGCTAGAGGCGCAGGGAGAAGGTTGTCCTTGTTATAAGCGTTGACTCTGATGAGCTAGAGTTATGCTATGCTAATCAAATTGCATTCAATATAATTCTGCAGCAGATGGTTATTTTCTTGTTGTATCTGATTTGTAGCCCCTAATCCATAATAATTCATAATCGAGGACTTTAAAATCACTAAGCGACGAACGGCGGACTTCGTTTTCATAAGCGGTCGAATCCAACACGGTGGGCTTGGAATCAATGGCAGTAGCTCATGCCGAGTTCCTAACCTGGGTTTTCGTCTCGCGAAGGCTCTCGCCGTATCTGCAGGCATTTGCCTTAGGCTCGCCAGTTTCTAGGCTGTATCAAACTGCATCGGTAATGCAATGTCGTTCCCGCCAATTAGCAACAGTGCGGTGTGACGCTTTCGAGTAAAAAAGCAAATATCCACTCGACTGCGTAAGTTTACATATCACTGCCTCAGGAAACACCGGAAATGACAATCTCGCATATCTCAAGCCGGAAGTCGGTCGAAAATAACTTTATGAGAGTTTGATTAGGTTTGTTTCGTGCGTTTTCCGGAGCTTCATCATAACCTTATTTCTTTTTCAGACATATTGTAGGAAATTTATAGATATGATACAATCAAGGAGTTTACATGATCGAATGAAATCAATTACGCTTTAAAATAATGTTAATATGCATCTGGCGTCGATTAAATATTGCTAATCAATGTATGTGTTTTGCCTAGAATGGCTAGTTAGTAAAGAGGTCAAGTACTTCCTCATTAATGTAAGTTCATAATAAGCTCATTGAAGCCGGATCGTTTACGAATCTTTAATGTTTGACTTGGTTTGTCTCTCTAAAGGCAGTAGCTTTTGCTTATTTTGGAACTCGGGCGTGCTGGTCTCTTAACATGTTACCGTAATCCAACATTTTCGCAGTGCTTTCGATTTGCATAGGTAAGGAAAAACGATTATATCTTTCCTTAGGAGAAAAAAACACTGGATGAAATTGCTGCCATGTGGAGAAGAAGGTTTGGCAGTAGCAGCCATATGAATAAATATACATATGAATGTTTTGAAGGTAAGTTAATGGGGTTGGCAGCCGCAGCTTTTCTGGGCTTCTCTTGTGCCACACCCCATTAACCTACCTTCAAAAAGAGTTTTAGCGAACATAATATGTATAATGCGATAGCTTGAATTTTGTAGTTTTCACAGGGCGGTAATTATTAGGTTGTTACATAAGTCTTGTTACACTTCAGCTTCTAATGGTGATAAGTCATGCACCTCACATACGTTACTGCTCCAAAATACCATTTGATAGAGCAAAGCAAGCTCTACAAGATAGTTTGCAAAAGTTCGCACCAATTTCGATCCACTGTAACTTTGCATCAAAATCTGAGTCGTAGTGAAGGCTCAGAAATTGCGAAAAATTCATCTTTGTTAAGAAAAATCCTACGAATCTTCAACTTGCTCATAAACATTGCCCACTATATCAAACACTCATATGTACCGTTGCTGTATTTTTCCCCATTCACAAATCGAGGGAAAATTTTTTAGTTTTTACAAAAACGAAGCTATGTTGTTTCTATTCATATAGCTGTACACTGCAAGGTCTTAGAAATAGAACCGTAAATTTTCAGCTCTTCAGAAGCCCTAATTTTCGAAAATTACCTAATTTAGCATTGAACACCCGAGTGAGAGAAGCTAAATTTGGTATTTTTCGAAAACCAGAGCTTCTGGAAAGCTGAAAGTTTACAGTTATACTTCCAAGAGCTTGCAGTATACAGCTACATGAATAGAAACAACATAGGTTTGTTTTTTGTAAAAACCAAAAAATTTTCCTTTTCTTGATTTCTGGATGAGGAAGAAGTACAGGAACGGTACATATGAGTGTATGATATAGCGAGCAATCTGCGTGAACGAGTTGGAGATGCGGAGAATTTTTTTGAAGAAAGATATGAATTTTTCGCGGTTTTTTGAGCCTTCAGTGCGACTTATATTCCGCATGCAAACTTACGGTGGGTCGGAGCTGGTGCAAACTTTTGCATACTATCTTGTAGAGCTTGCTTTGCTCTATCGAACGGCCCTATTAAAATTATGAAATTCAAGCTTTTCGTCGTAAGAAATTAAAGTGTAACAAGACTTATGTAACAACCTAATAGAAGCAGGATTTATATGGGTAGGCGTAGTGCTTTGTATTGAGTACAAAAAGGGTTAGCGAAATCACTTTTGAAGTATTTTAATCATGTTTGAAAATGACCACTTCACTCGGGTGACCCAATATCAAGAACTCACAGAATTTGCTAAAACTTGGCCCACGGGGGATATTTAACATGAAAGTCACGAAAATGTTAATATTTGTGCTTAGTAGAGCCTTTATGTCATGCCTACGGGGTGTATGTCAAGAGGCGCGGTTTTTATTGCCAGCTGGACATCAAATTGCACATTTTAAATGTTTAATAATGTTTTAGAGGCCTTTGTAATTTCTGAGACAATATAGAAGATCGTTGCATGACCTGTCTGATCTTATCATCTTAAAAAAGATCCAAAACAGAAACATTGGAGGTCAAAAACCCATGAAAATGCAAATAATGGCATTTTCGTGGATATTTCGCTCATTTTTGCAGCAAAAGCCGTGAAACTCAGTAAATGGTAACTTCGAAGAGCTAGTAAGCTAAACAACTTTCTCTGGAATTTTTTAAAAATTTGTGTAGTGCAGAAAAGGGCTTTTAAGTTGGTGACAGCCAGAGAAATGGCGCCTCTTGACCGTCTCCCATGCCTACGGAAGGGGGGGGGGGGGAAGGGTGTAAGGTTGTGTGTCACACCTCTTGCTCGACCCTGGTTATGACATTGAGGGAGGTCGCCCCCGACGGTGCAAGGGAATTCGCGAGCATGTCCGAGGTTTAAGAATGGCTTGCGTGCACGGGCTTAGGGGAAGAATTCTTAACGGAGGCAGCATGCTGTGCGCTCACACTTGCTCTTTTATATTTGGGGTTGAAGCAATCTAACAAAATCGATTTTCTGAGGTGATTAGTTTTGACAGTAAGAGTGGTCCTAATTACCTCAACTCCTCTAATAAGGTACTCTTGGTAGCACCTGCTTTTATTCTCAAACGCTACGATCTCCTGCCAGAGTCTAGAGATTATAACAAAAATGGAAACAATGACTCTTCTTAAAGTTGATCAATGACTCATCATAGAATCAGCCATCTATTCAAAGTAGTTCAGAATACTCTGCGCCAATCATTTATTTACCAGTGTGCCACCTCTGCTTCGCAGAGGCTCGCACTGGTGCTCCTAACTATATGCTTCACTTCACTTGCTTCACTGCTCGCATTTTGATGCTGATTGTTCCGAAACTCACCGTGCCCTGCTGACTATCACGAATGATTTGTAAAAAAATACTCATTCTAAAAGCTTTTATTTGTGAGATCGGTGACTTTGTAAGAAAGAAATCTTTCTTGCAGAAAAATAAATGCGAATTTGAATCAAGTACTGAATTCTTTATAGCTTGATAGATGCTATAAGGGACAAAGAGCTTCCGTGGGCTACATTTTTGAGCAAAAATCTCCCAAGTTTCTTAAATAAAAGCTCGACAAATCCGCAATTTACTCCACTAACCCTTTTTGGCACAGTGTTCGCATAAAATATACTTTTTGATTACTTTTTGGGCTAAAACCAATGATTTGCACATGTATATGCCATATAAACCCAAGAGTTTGCAAAAAAAAACTGATTTCGGTTCTATTTCTGAGAGCCAGAAGCCAAGTGGACCCTGTTCGACGTGCAATTCTCGTGGGATCCACGCATCGGATTCGCTCGCGCTTTTGCACGGTGTATCTAGACGTTGGCCGCGTGTGTTGTACAAAAACAAAAAAAACATTTCGGTTATGAAGTTTTCCAACACGACTAATCGTGACTAACTAATACAAACGAAATACAAGAAGATCGGCATATGAACTCGTGACACTTGTCTTGTAGCGATTGAATGGCGACGATCAAGCCGCGTGAACTCTGCCCGAGGCCTTACCCAGACCCATTTTTTCGAAGAAGGGTATCTCTTCTGACCTTATACCATATATAGTCCCAAATTCACAAAAAGGTGTCAACCTTCTGCCACGTGTCAAAAAAATTCGACATGTCATCTACATGTTTAACAGGTAGGATCCCATTATCAAAGCGGCGAAACAAGCAGCAGCAAGATATTGCGAGCCATCATTTATAGTCTCTCCTGTTAAATTCGCATGACTGAAAGTTTGAAGAGGAAGACAATTTAAATTATTGCCGAAAGCAATCACGATGTTCTGGGATAAGTTCTAGACAGATTTTCAGAGAAAACTGTTTAAAGGCTTTTAGGTGGTCACAAATAAAAACGAGTTAAAATAACTAAATTGTGTCAATTTTTTCCTGACACGTGGCGTAGAGGGCAGTCTTCGTAGAATCTATGGAAAGCTATTATTAGACTGGAGAACGTATTTTATGAAAGCCTTGAGAAATTGGGTCCGTAACGGAGAAGTACCGGATTTCGTTTCAGACAGACACACACACACAAAAAAAAACGTAAATACCTTTAGCGCGTTACTTACTTACTCAGATACTTACAAGGGAATGGTCAGAAGTCGAAGTGGCCAAACCAAACAAGCTGTATATCATTCGATGCAGAATAAAACGCTGACTTCGAATCTGTCTTCCTTATCTGCTTCCCGCTTCTGTGGACGAAGCTACAAGCGGTTTTATTGTGAAAAAATCATACATAAAAAAAGCGAAATTGAGCACATTGTTGCACTTTTAGCTCGGCTTCTGGCTTCAAAATTTTAAGTAAGCTAGCTGCATGTTTTGGCCCAGCATTGAGGCGAACGAGGCTCTGTACGGCTAAATTTTCAATTTTACGCATAATTTCTAAGCAAAACAATGGTCTTTAATGGCTTACAGCTTCGTTCAGAAAAGCGATAAGCAGGTAAGGAAGACAGACTTAGAGTCAGCGCTTCATGCTGCATCTAACGCTACGCAGCTTGTCTGGAATGGCCACTTCGATTTCTGACCATTCCCTTGTTAGATGGCCCGTCTTCACGGGCTTGCGGGCCCCAGCACAAGAGTTTCCATCGGTTCCTGTCCCTCGCTTCAGACATCCACGATCTTCTTGGTTGACGTCGGTGGCTGCGTCCACGTGTTCCAGGTGCGAAAATCGTATCCAGCTGATTTCTCAGCTGGTCCATCCGTTCCACGAACACGTCTGCCCATCTCGTCGGTGGTTTTCCTCGGGGACCTTTGGCTTCGCGAGGAATCCACTCGGATGTTCTTAGTGCCCATCTGTCGTCTGTTCTTCTCATGATGTGACCGGCCCATCGGTTTTCGCTTTCGCAATGTATTCCGCTGGATCACGAAGACGGGACATTCTTCTCATATCCGTATTGCGAAGTCCGACTAGATGTTGCTCGGGTCATCTTCAGAAGACTGCGCTCGAGCGCTCTGTGGGTGGTCCGTAAAGCTTTCGACGTGGCTGCAGTGTCGGCCCAAGTCTCAGCTGCGTAACAGAGCGCCGGGAGAACGGT